TTTACACTTCATAGTGTTAAGCTCCGTTGCTTATTTAAGCAACTCTGCCAAAAAATTAAGATCTCCTCTTGTCACGTAGGATGACTCTATTGGAAGTTTCTTGTAAGCATCAGTTCTTATTTTCAAGCTACACCATAAGCACTCCTACTTAGAGAAGATATTTTTTCATCTTCACTGATGTATGGAGCTTCTGACACAAATCTCTCTCTATCTCATTAAAGGAGGAGGGAACTTGGGAAATGGATCTTCTGACTTTGTGGAGGGAAATTTATGGTAACTTAATACATTTAAACCGTTGGATTTGTAATAAAAGATCAGATTGTGACACTGTACATTTAAGTTAAAATATATATTGTACACGTGTCACAATCTGATTTATTTTTATACATCTAGCGGTTTAAATGCATTAAGTTACCATAACTTTCCTTTTACAAAGTCAGAGAATCTGGATCTGTGAACTTGGCACAAAAAAAAAACATTCTTTTTAATGGGTTCTCTTTATCACACATGCACAACGAAAGACATTAAAAGGGGATTGGTCCGACATTCACGGGCTCTCAGCTTCCTACATTAGTTCCCACACTATTTTTCCACCTTCAAGAGAAAAAACATCCTAACATTCTCTTCCTAAAAACGTGGCTTTTGTGCTACTTGCAAAATTCTAGAGAAAAAAAAGGATCAATATGTTTCAATTATTTTTCTTATTGTTATTTTCAACAACTTTCGCTTTCTCAACTAAGGCCGAAAACTCAGTGATGGCCATAGGCACCACCACCCTCTTCAACTCCTACTTCAAACCTTCAGCAAATTTTTTGCACTTCCAAGCTTCAGAAATAGCTTGTGAATAGAAATGAGCCAAGTGCTCGAATCTCATCGCATAATCAAACACTATCATCCCACCTTGGTGCAACCTCATAAACTCGGCCTCCATGGCATGTCTCACACTCTCTGGAAAGTACTTCTCAAGAAACACCCTCTTGAAGCACTCTTAGTCAACCGCTTTTGTTTCTGGATGAACCAATCAAAATTCTTCATTTTTACACTTCATAGTGTTAAGCTCCGTTGCTTATTTAAGCAACTCTGCCAAAAAATTAAGATCTCCTCTTGTCACGTAGGATGACTCTATTGGAAGTTTCTTGTAAGCATCAGTTCTTATTTTCAAGCTACACCATAAGCACTCCTACTTAGAGAAGATATTTTTTCATCTTCACTGATGTATGGAGCTTCTGACACAAATCTCTCTCTATCTCATTAAAGGAGGAGGGAACTTGGGAAATGGATCTTCTGACTTTGTGGAGGGAAATTTATGGTAACTTAATACATTTAAACCGTTGGATTTGTAATAAAAGATCAGATTGTGACACTGTACATTTAAGTTAAAATATATATTGTACACGTGTCACAATCTGATTTATTTTTATACATCTAGCGGTTTAAATGCATTAAGTTACCATAACTTTCCTTTTACAAAGTCAGAGAATCTGGATCTGTGAACTTGGCACAAAAAAAAAACATTCTTTTTAATGGGTTCTCTTTATCACACATGCACAACGAAAGACATTAAAAGGGGATTGGTCCGACATTCACGGGCTCTCAGCTTCCTACATTAGTTCCCACACTATTTTTCCACCTTCAAGAGAAAAAACATCCTAACATTCTCTTCCTAAAAACGTGGCTTTTGTGCTACTTGCAAAATTCTAGAGAAAAAAAAGGATCAATATGTTTCAATTATTTTTCTTATTGTTATTTTGTATTTCTTCTCTATTAAGTGTGCCTCTTGTGTTGTTAATAATATAATCAATTTCTAATGGAGAGGGGTAGAACATAGTTAGGATTTAGGTCCTTTCCAAAAATTTATGCATATGATAGACGCGTATCTTTATTTTCTCATAAAGAAAAAATATATCATTTTTTTTTCATAAGTACATGCTCTTTTCAAAGGTGTCTCTATGCTTATCATAAGATGTGAAAGAGTTTTCCATAATGATGTCTAGTGTCAAATTTCAACAATTTATGTGATCGTTGAGTGGTTATGGAAGTGATAAGGAAGGATGGAGGGTGGTTTTGTTTATTGAGGTGTGAGAGATTAATTAGGAATGGTATGTTGTTTAAAAGTAATCAGGTAATAAATTTGTTGGATATTGTAAATTCAATAAAAATTAAAAGATTGGAGTTGGTAAACGGTGAGAAGGAAAGGGTTCATTTACTCAATTAGTTCTTGAACCTTGATTCCATTGGCTTGCTATAATAGGTTAAATGGGTTTGTTAAGGGTGAAAGGGTGATCGGTGAGTGTTGACATGGTTGTGGTAATATGCATATACTACAATTGTAGGGTCTTTTGATTTTTGAAAAAATGTAAAAGGACTTGAATTTATATCATTAGTTAACACATTTGTGAGTCTTTCATGCATTTTAGGCATGTCTTTGATGGTATTGGAATATACGGTTTAACTCTCTTACATATTTAAGGCATGCTTCAACCCTTTTCTCTTATGGTGTATTTGGATGAAAAATTTTACAAATTTAAGGAATTTTAAATCTTGGTATTTGAATTACTTTGATTTTAATTTTTATCATTTTTAAAATATTTTGTTTAGATAAGTCAATTCAAATTTCTCAAATTTTAAATTGTTGGGTTAGATATGATAATTTGATTCTACCATGGTAAAATTAATTTTAAAAATATATTTATATGTTGAGATTTGTAAATCAATTTTTATAAAAATAAATATTAGCTAATTTTTAAATATTTAATAATTTTAAAAATTAATATTAGATAATATTTAATAATTTTAATTTTTTTTTT